TTGTATGCAATAGTAGTACAAATAGTAATACAAATTTTTTTCTTTGCACATAATAATTCTGAAATTTATTTTGAGTAACGTAGTTATTTATTTATATAACGAAAATTAAAATTATAATCCACAGCTCAATTAATATGGATGAAACCCCAAAAAATTTATGGAATGCTTATTCGGGTAAATATCAGGTAATGGCAATTTAATATTTTTAATAATTATAATTATTTTATTGAATTTTTGTAGTTAAAAATATTAATAATTTTTTGTCTATTAAAAGGAACATGTTACAATTCCTACTATTGATTCAACTATTGAATCAGAAAATGTAGATGAAAGTGTAGTTTATATAGGAGATTTAGAAAAAAGAAAAAAAGCGTATGGAATATGTGGAGAATGTAAAGAACCTGGCACAGGACAAAATTGGTGTCAATCTTGTAATGCTAAAAGATTTAAAGATAACTTTAAAAATTGGACTAGTGGAAATAAAGATATTGATGAATTTATACAGCAATCACAACTTAATGCTGTATATTGTAAAAAATATCTTGAATGGATACCTTTTGAAAAATTTCAAAATATCACTTATATTGCGGAAGGTGGTTTTGGTAAGATTTATTCAGCTGAATGGCCTGAAGGATATATTTATTATTGGGATATTGAAAATCAAAAATGGTATAGAGAAAAAAAAGAAAAATATGCATTAAAAAGTTTGAATAATTCTTCTGATATATGTTCAGATTTTTTAAATGAGGTAATTTAAACTTACTTTGTCTTATATCTAAAGATTGTTATTTGCATTTATTTATTAATAAAATTTTTCCTTTTTGATGATAATTAGATTAAATCTCATCTTCAGATTTATCTTGGAGATATTGTTCAATGTTTTGGAATTACTCAAGATCTAAATAATAAAGAGTATATGATGGTTATAGAATATTGTGAGGATGGAAACTTGAGAAATTATTTAAATAAATCTGAAAATTATATAAATTATGAATCAAAAATTGATCAATTACAACAAATTGCAAGAGGACTTTTAGATATTCATAATGCTGAAAAAGTTCACAAAGATTTTCATTCAGGAAATATATTATTTTCAATTGATCCATTCATAAGTGATTTAGGAATGTGTCAACCAGCAAATATAAAGCAAACAGTTAAAGAAGAAGGAATTTATGGAGTATTACCATATATGGCACCAGAAGTTTTACGTGGACAACAATATACAAAAGCAGCAGATATTTACTCATTTGGAATAATAATGAACGAATTTCTTTCTGAAGAAATTCCTTTTAATGATATTCCTCATAATGAATTTTTAGCTATTAAAATATGTAAAGGACTTAGACCAACAATTTATAAAGACATACCAAAGTTACTTGCAGATTTGATAATAAAATGTTGGGATGCTGAAATAAAAAATAGACCAACCACTAAAGAGTTGTATCAAACATTAAATGAATGGAGTGATGAAATTGAAGATATTAAATATAGGGCCAAAAATAAATATAGTGAAATTTATCTTCAAACAAATGAATGTGATAAAACTAGAAAAGAAAAATTCAAGAACAGGTCAAATGAAGATAAATCCAAAAGCTTCAAAACGCATCCACAAGCTATTTATACTAGTAGACTTTTAAATTTCAAAAATCTTCCAAAACCAGTAAATTCTTCAGATTTATCATCTTTTCAATTCAGTTCAGGTAATTAAATTTTATTTTATTTTATCATATAATCCATTTTACATTATTAATGTATTTTTATTTTTTAATAGACACTAGTTATACTGCTCAATCAACATCAGCAAATCTAAGTAAGTATTCCATTTATTATTATAATTATTTTATTTAAATTTATTAACGTTTAAATACTATAAACAGTTTCAGAATGCTTAGATGTTCAATTAAGTGAATTAGGTAAGTTATATTATTTGTAAATTTATTGATATTCTATATCTAATTTATTTTTTTTATAGAGCTAAATGAAATTTGTCAAGATGGTGAAGATAATATTGAATAAAGTTTCTTTTTATGTGTAAGTTGAAATTAAATAGGTTAAATATTAATTCGTGTATTGAAGTTAGTTTACTTCTATTTTTCTTTCATTTATACTTTATAAATTTTTAGTACATATAGATTTATCGGATTTTATATTTAAGAATATTCTATATAAATAAAGATTTAAACATTAATCTGTAATACAGTAAGTGCAAATATTCCGCTCAATGTATCTTTATTCTCGATGATAATTGTTACAAATTCTTAGTGAAATTTCATTTGATTATCATTTTATGGGTAATAAATGGTTAATACTTAAGGTAGTTAGATCAAAATTCATTTTTTTTTTATTTATGTTTATATTTTATACAAAAATGGCTAAATGGAATACATGAAATACTACTTCTGTTTACGCCATAATCTGCAAAAGAGGACAAATCAAATTTGAAAATTGGATTATATAAGCGGATCATCATCGGCTAAATTTTATAGTTCGGTAGTTCGGTAACAAATTTTCGTGTGAGAGCATCGTTTTAACATACTGTATCTTAAAATTTTATGATAGATAGGCTTTTTAATATAGATAGATGTACGATACCAACAAAAGTTCAAAAAATAAATTAAATAGTTTATTATTTTAATTGTTAAAATTTTTCATAACTTAAAATCAAAATAATTCGTTAGAAAAGAAATAAATTCAATAACATGAATTTATTGTGTAAATTAATAATTCAGGTATATTTTTTTCGCTAAACCGGATGGTTATGTAATACCAAAATAGAATTTTTGGTCAGAAATGACATATCATTACAAGAAAAATTTTTTTATGGTTCGAACAAATAATTATTAAAAGAATAAAAACACCATCTTAATATAAAGATAAATTTATTTAATTAAATTCACTTAAAACTGAAATTTTTTTCCAATATTTTTTATTTTTTTTTCGGATTTTAAATTTGGATCAGTTGCTGCGATGTTATATTAAGTGTCTTTTACTAATTTTTTTAATAATATTTTTTTTCTAATTATTTTTTTTTTTTTTTTTTTTGTTCTTTTACCTTTTATGTTTGGATTAAAGTTAAGTGCTGTAATATAATCAAAATATATATACATATATATTATTTAAATAAATTTAGTTAAAATAAATATATTTTTTTACTTAATAAAAAAGTCTTTAATTCCTATATATTAAGAAATAGTCCGCATTTATTTTGATATTCAGTTCACTAACAGTAACTAATAAGTCGATTTATTTATGATAATATAAATTGACTATTTGCAGTACAATTTGTTTTGATTAATTCATTCCTTTAAACTTGTTATCATTAATCTCTGTTAAAGTATACTTCATTATAATATTCTATCGCGGGTAATAAACGTTGATTTTATATAAATGTAAATATTCGTTCGCCTATAATTAAACAAAAATCAAAAATAATTAATATTTACAATAAAATAGTATTTAAACTGTATTAAACTAATTAAAAAATAATTTTATCATTAATTTTATTATTTTAAATAAATTACAAAATATTATTACCTCTTTCATTTAGATTCAATAATACTATCTATATTGACAAATCTTATTATTTTTTTTCATTAATACAATGAAATACCTCGATCTCCTAAATCTATCCAATGATTCCGAATATATTAAATATATTACGATATCCAAATTTGGAAATAAATTCAAAGTTTTTTACTTAGATAAAAAATAAAAAATAAAAATTTCAATTAAAAAAAAAAAGTTATATTTGTAAGAATCAGCATACAGGAGGCACGTGAAATATAAATGAATAAAAAAAAGTGGTTCAAATAGAAAAAGAATTTCCACCTCGGTTTATAATATAATAAATTAAAAGGAAAAAAAGCTATAGCGTATACAAATCATTAGACTTATATTTTTTAAATATCTTTTTATTCTTAATAATTTTTAACAAAAATAAATATTAGTTCTATCAATATTATACTCTATATATTCTATATATTGATTATTATATGTATATGTATTTACATACGTATATGCATATGATTCTAAGATTTTAAAAATGATAAATTAAATATTAATAGTTTTTTTAGTTCTTAAAAATTCTGTTATCCGCAAAGCTATACAAGTTTATCATAGCGTTTATAACCTTCAAAATGCTGTCTCTAATTATAATGGCGAAAGGCCCAAGTGGAATAGAAGTCTTAAATGTGGCAGTTCTAGATTTTAATACGTCAGCAGATGTTCGCTTCAACATTTTTTTTCATATTCTTCAATAAAAGAAATATTACTGTCCATATATTTAAGTAATGCTTGAGAAAGTTTATCAGCATCTTGAATAGCATTATTTGCTCCTAATCCTAATATAGGACTCATATCACCTAATAATACAATTCGATTACTTACCCATGATTTGATAGACATTGGATCAATATCTCGCATCATATGGGCTGATTCAACGCATAAAATGGATTTGGCCAACATTATTGGATATTTTAAGGGAAATTTGGCTAAAATAATGGTATTTTCGGCCAAAATTACGGCATGTCCAACAGGTGGACAACAGGTTTTTTGAGGAGACGTAGATGATTATTATTATAACTTTATACTATCTTGCCAAAAATGATAATTTTGTAACTAAAATAAATTTGTTACTCTTTACCATTATTGTTATATAAAAAAAAAATACTTCATTGAAATTTTTTAACAAAAATTTTAATAAATAACAAATTTACTACTTAATGCATCAAATCGGCCCATATGCATTCTTCATTGTACAGGATTATAAGTTTTAAATGGAAACTTTATTGGATCATTTGGAATTGTTTTAGGTGCCAAGTCCCATAATTTTATTAATAAATCAGTCAATTCACAATCTGATCTTAATGTTCGAATTAACCGTTTAACATGTTCGATGACTGATGCAGGGTCATTATCAATATCAACGTTATCCAATTCGGAGGGATAAAAATAGACTAATGTTACTCTATAATGAGGTTCACTTTTCTCATCATTTTGTTCTTGTTTGATTGGTATTAAGCGTGTCAATATAAGCGTTGAATCTCCTTTTGTTCCAAGAGTTTTATGGACCAATAAGTTTCCATGGATTTTATTTGCCTTGTCCATAAGATGTTGAGGTATGGTAACATCCGCACTAACATGGGTTATTCCATAATCAACGATTTGTAATTCAGGTAATTTTTGTTTTCGTACTAATATAAAAAAAAATGTTTGTTATTTAAGAATAATTTAAATAATAGATATTATTTAAAAATATTTTATAACTACTTAATTGGAGAATTAATTCCATCTGCGCCAACTAAAATATTACAAAATTCTTGTGAACCATCTTCAAAAAATACCCAAACTCCTTCTTGAGTCTCTACATATTTAATACATTTTTTATTCCATTGAACTGGTACACCTTCTAATAAAACATCTCTAAGTCTATTACGATAAATGACAATTGATGATAGACCACGAAATATTTTTGCGATTTCATAAACATCTTTAAATGGTTTAGTTGGAGGGGTAAGTAAAACATTTCCTATTTGATCAATGATAGTTATTCCATGAGTTTCTACATCAGGAATTGGATTTGGTATTGCTTTTGAAAGGTTTGAAGCGATCGAGGATGGAACACAGTTTAAAAGAGATCGAGCTCCATAATTGGACAAGCCTATATGATATCCTTGCCATTGATCTAATACGTGACAGTATGAGTGAGTTAATTTTTAAAGTTTCTAACATAATATTTAACTAGAAAATTAGAAATTTTTATACCTGTCAGTAGGACTAGTTTCACGTTCAAAGATTTTTACGTTGAATTCTTTTTTGTCCTTGTTTTTTATCAAGGCATGATAGAGAGAAAGTCCTCCTAGACCTGCACCAACAATAATAATCGTTGGAATTTTTTCTTAATGAAATTATGATTTTATATAAAAATTTAAAAAAGATAAATTGTTATTATGATGTTTAAAATTGTTTGATTTTTTTAATGTATTTTAATGTAATTTAAAATTTGTTTTGAAAAATCGAGAAACATTTTTCTAGCGGATTTATTTATAAGAAAATAAGGTCTTTGCCAAAAAATAAACGAAACAAACGTTAACGTACCTTTATCTTTGCGTAATGTGATTGTAAGTATCTTAAAATGTCGATCAAAGCGTAAATTTTTTGCCAATATTTATCGTTATTTCTGTTTCACAAAAAATTGCTATATGTGTCACATGCCAAGTCAAATGTAACGTCATTAATTATTTTCTAGAAATAAATGACATCATTATTTAATAACGAAATTTTAACTTTTCGGAAAATTATTTTACCATAAAATTTTACCAAGGAATTACACGAAATTTCTGTGGTAAATATTATCAAAGAAAATTTCTTTGATTGTAAATAATGACCTTCATGAATCTTATTATTATTTAATTTGATTATTTACGAAAAATGTAACTATATTTACCAATTTATTAATACTTCTTATAATAAATAATACAAAGTAATTAAACAATCATTAAACATTTTTTTCCGAACTAATCTGTTATAATATATTTGAACTAACTCGTTAATGGTTTTACGATTTCATGAACCACATTCTATAAATTTTTAAACTAGTTCTTGTTTCAACTTTTAATTCTTTTTATAACTTCCTTTCAATCTCGTTTCAATTAATCTATACTAATATTTTATCATTTCATCCAATTACATTCACATTATGATCAAATTGAAATAATAAAGATTCGTAGATAAAAGTGATGGCACGAACTCATTCCTACACTTAACATGACAACTTTTTATGAATGAAGAAAAGATTAAATTATTTATATACAGTGCATGAATTTTAATTTTACAAATTTATAATTAATTATAGCTTACATCTTTTTACGAATTCAAAAATTTTGAACAAGCTGTTCCTTCAAGAGACTTTACAATAAAGTAAAAAATTAATAATTTTAATAAGAGTAATATTTCGTAGGATTTACGTAACGGCAAATCTGCAGTAGAGGTACTTCAAACGTAACCATCTGGTTTCGTTACTTTTATTAATTCACCAATAATAAAAGTTCATTGATCTAAAGTACTATAACGTGGTTCAATATTTAAATAAGTCAAATCAAAATGATTTTCTTCCTTACAATATATCAGCATGGTTAAAATTTAATTGATGCGAAAAATAATATTTTCTTATCAATGACGAAAAATCCCAAAAGTGAATATTCATTTGATAACTCTAAGAGAAATGTTCCAGCTCCAGTGTGTATATATATATACACATAGTACAATAGTACATCTAAAATTTTAGCATCATTCTTCAAAGAATCTCCATGGAGAAGGAACAGATTTATTTAAATAATTTATATGTTCTTTGTTGAAGTTGATGCTATTTATGCTATTTCTTGTTTTCAAATTTTTTTTAAATAAAATCTGATCTATTCCAAGATAATTTTCAACGCGTCTATTTTTATTAAAATTAGAAACTGATTTAATAATCTATAGAAAAGATTCGATAATCGTTTCCAATCAATACGTCGAGGTCGAGCAACCATGTGGGTAACAAAACATCGAAGATTTTGGTAGAAGTATTATGAAACAATTTTATATGAAGTATTAAATAACTTTAAATTGTGTATACAAAAGTAAACAATAATAATTATTATCATTATCATTTCATATAATTTTAATGTAATGAGTTTATAACACTAAAGTCACGTAATAATAAATTTGACCGAAGATCGAACGAGATCGAACGGTATCAAATTTATTTTTTCTATAGTTAAATGAAATTAATTTTGCCAAGTTTCAGATTCATTCTCTGACAAAACTCTCAGGTTTTGTTCACAACATTGATTTATTGTATTTTCTATAGTTCCTATTTATTTAATGAATAAAAACAAAACAATCATATTTATAAATCTATAAAATAAGAATGTTTTCTTTAAAAAAATAAATTTCGCTAAAAAATTTTAATCATAACTGTAGAATCTGAGCTAAGTACACGTCTTGTCAAAAGAAATGGACTTTTAAGTTTTTTTCTTGAAACAGCTTAATCTTAAGCTTAAATTGAAGCTGTTTGAGCAAATTGAAGTTTCTACTTTTATGTTATAAAAAAGAATTTTGATGCATCAAGTAATTTACAATAAAAATTTTTTATTAATTATTATGAGAAATATGTATTTTATTATATTATGTAATATATAATAAATTTTATAGAATTAACAAGAGGTTATTGTAAAAAATTTGACAATCTAAACTATTTATTAGTACAAATAAAAATAATTTTTTTTAATATAGAACGTGTGCACATTATTTATGTCGCTTCTTGTCATATTTTCATGAGGTTAAAAATTATTCTTTCAACTTGTTTTAATAAATTCATGTATAACGAATGGAATAATCTGTTATGATTTTACAATGTTTATGACATGAATTTACGTTAAGAAACTTAATTTTCGCCTAAATTAGTAAATACATTTAATAATTTGATTGAATTTATTAAAATTATTTAAATTACAAACTAAGAATTTTGTAAAACATTTACTACTCTAGTAGTCTTAGTGTTTAAATAATCTCCAAGATAAAATAAATAAATAAATAAATGATAATAATTTAAAATATAAAAAAAAAATTGTTAAATGATTATTCATATCCATCTAAAGTTAAAAAATAACAAATTATAAATTAATTATTTGCTTTATAAAGAAATCTCATTTATTTAAGAACTTACCATCAGGAATTTCCAGTTCATCTTGTTCTTTCGAATGAAGATTTGGATTATTATATACTTCGTCTTCATCTGTAAGAAATAAATAATTAAATTAAAAAATAATATAAAAATTAAATAAAAAATTCGCATAATTCGCATACCATCAATATCACCAATATTTTGTCTTTTCATTTTTTGTTGAATTATTTCTTTTTCATCATCTAAATTTTTAAATTAAAGCTTAGTACATTTAAATAAATATATTGACAAAATAATTTTTACTTTTTTTTGCTTACCATCAATATCAATATCTTTCCTTTTCATTTGTTGTTGAATTATTTCTTTTTCTTCATATTGTTTTTAAAATAAAAGTCACGTTATTTAATAAATAAAACTGTTACAATGAATATTATTCACTTATTTACTTACTATTTGAATTTTGCAAATTTATAAATTCTTTGGGTAATTTTTCACTATCACCTAAAATTAAGAACATAGAAATAGATTTTAATATTTAATTTATTATTTCAAACAAATCACCTTTAAAAATATTTATTAATTATACCTGATAATTTCTTACTATACTGCTCATTTGATTTATTAAAGTCGTTAACTAAAATAAAAATTAATTATTAGATATCATTACATGATAATTCAACGTTATAATGTTATTAAATACTTACTATTGTTAGGAATGTTAAAATCATACAATTTACTATGAAACACTATTAATAGTAAAATAAAGTATTTAAAACTAATTAATTATAGTTACCAAAAATGGTAGAAATTATTATTTATATGGTTATACCTTCTTGTTCTTCTATTATAATAAAAAGATAACATTAATAATGTATTTTAAATAAATACATCCATTAATAAAATATTATACACTTATACCTTCTGTTGCGTTTTTTGGTTCAGGTAGGTTTCCAAAGTTGTGAATTTTACTTGTAAATAATCTGCTACTCGTATAATTTTCTTCTACTTTATTCACTTCTAAATTATCCATTTCTGATTTGAATAATTCATCTGACATATTTTGATAATATAAATTAAGTTTTATCACTTTAATCGCAAGTGCATAAGCGTCAGGTCTTTTTAATGGATCAGCATCCCAACATTCTTTCATTAAATTTTTATATTCTAACGGAGTTCCTGGCACAATTTTTGGTCTTATACCATCAATAATATTATATACAAGAATATGTTCATCTTCATAATCCATAAATGGTGGTTGTCCAAATGAAATTTCCCACATAAGCATTGCAATACTATAAATATCAGATGCAAAAGTATATCCTCTTCCAACAATAACTTCGGGTGCTATGTAAGGAAGATTTCCATATATACTTGTTGAAGATTTATCAGCAGGTCCACAAAATCCAAGATCACTAATATACCAGTAATCATTATATTGTGAATATAATATATTTCCAGAATGTAAATCTCTATGAATTACTTTCTCTTTATGAATACGATAAAGTGAAAGAATTATTTCATAAGTAATATTAATTCTCTTTTTCCATGTAAGTTGATTATGATTTTGTTGTAAATATTTTCTTAAATCTATATCCATTTCCATCATTACGAGAAAATAATTTCCATTTGATGGATTTTGTGTTAAACCAAAACATCGAACAACAACTGCCCATTTATTATTTATAGTTAAATGTGATTTAGCCTAAAAGACAATAATTTGTAAAAATACTAGTGTTAATACAAAAAATTACAACAATTTTATGAAATATAGAATACAATAATACAAACCTCTTCAAACCAACTTTGATTTGCACTTTCAACATTTTCTAATTTTTTTAATACTACTTCGCCATATCCAAATCTTTTTAATTGTTTTTTTTCAAAATCCCATTCTTCATAATCTCCATTAATCCAATCTGCTGTATAAATTTCTGAGAATCCACCTTTTGTTAAATATTTAATATTTTCTAAATTACTATATGGGATCCATTCAACTACCATATCTGGCGCCAATGTTTCCATTTGACATTCCTGTATTAAATTATCAATATCATCATTCCCGGATGTCCAATTTGGAAAATTTTCTTGTAAATAATTTCGGACACAATATTCACAATATAATGTAGCTAAGCATTCTTGGTTACAATTTTCACAAATTCTTCTTGTTCCTGAATTATAATAAATTTTATCTCGATCATAATTGTCAATTAAATATCTTATTGCTTCAATTTTTTCATCATCTGTAAGAATTTTATCAGCAAGGACTGTTTGTTTTTGAAATTCAAATTGTTTGTGTATATCATTGTAAATATTAGTATCTGTTAATGTTGATACTCTATTAACTGTTGCATTAATTAACTCATATCGAAGAGTGGACATAATGCAATCAATAAGAAAGAAAGAAATAATTATTTTAAGTTCATTACTTCGTTACTCCGAGATAAATTAGTAAAATGCAAATTGTTGATCAAACTTCATGTTGTGCCCACATAAATTTTGTAACCTTGAGGCGTAGTATTTTACGCCTCATAACCAAAAAAAGAAAACCATTTATTACTGTACTTTCTATACTTAGTATGATAATTTAAAATTAAAAATTTCTTTTTTTTATTTTTTTTGCGTCACTCATCGCTTCCCCTCTGTTCGCTTTTTTCAGCGAATACAATTTATGTTTAACTAGTTGATTGTCATATTAATGAATAAATATATAGTATCCTTGATTATTGATTAATTTGATAAACAAAATCAATGATTGTTATTCAATAGGTTATTAATTCGTTGTCATTTTTAAATCTTATTTAAAAAAAAATCTATAAAAACATGATTGATGAAAAGTCAATTTAGTTATTTTCACTTGAATTTATTTTAAATAAACAACGTGGCGAATAATAAACATGAAAGATTATAAGAAACCATTCAATTTATTATTTCTACTAAAAAAGTCATATCTAAGAGAAAGAATTTCTGTAGAATTATTATTATTATTTTTTTTTTTTTAAGATGTACGCAAATATAGGTTTAAATAAAAATATATGGTTTAATAAAAAAAATAAGTTTGAATGAAAGAATGATTACGTAACTATTTAGTTTAATAATAAATAAGGAATAGATCAGGCGCAAGTATATCACGGGTTTTCATATTATGACACGGGTTTCATGTTACACAATTCAAATTATTTATATGGAGACTATTCGTCTATTCTAAACGGCAGACAAAATTTTTTTAGTTATATAGATTAGAAAAATTTTCATTCACCAACTAAATGAATATTAATTAAAAAGGGAGATAACTGATTTTATGGCCAATAAATGTAAAATTTTTATGATTTGTGGCATGAATAATAATTTTTTTTTAATTTTTGAACAAGGTTTCGAACAAAGATATTTTAATTGTGTGAAGAATATAATTTAATTGACGAATGACAACAGTAAATGAAGTCATTTTTAAATAATTCGTAATAACAATATTGCATCAAATTATTATCATCAACGCCATCTTTATTATGATAATCAAAACTATGAAAGACATTTTTAATTCTGCTAAATTGATAAAATTTGAAATTGTTTAAATTGGCAAATCAATACAATTAAAAAGTTCAAGAATTCTTTAAAGAATTTGAGGATGTTTGATAATTTTCTTTTTGAAAAAATTCACCATCTGTCTGAAGCGTATAAATGTGAGAATATTTGTACTTGTATTATCATTATAATTTCAGACAGACATGAATCTGAGAGATCACTAATAAATAAATTATTACATTATCAAAACTCAATACGTTTTAATTTGTGTCGGAATAATTCCTCAGAACAAAAAATAATACTAATCGTTAATATTCACCAATTACCTTTGAAGAATATAGTAATATAAAATATAATTAAATTAAATTTCATTGTTTTTGTTATAATAAAAGAAATCATCAAATTTTATTTATGAGATTAAAAGAGAATTTTTTATTTCTTGTCAAACATTTAATTGTCGATCTTCCAGGAATTTCAATCGGTATCTAATATCTATTAATAATGATTCTTCAGTTATTTACTGCAAAATATTTCAAGATTTCTTTAAGTAATGCAATCTTTGAAAGTGCACTTGATTTTTCTTTAAAAATGTGAAAAAATGAAAATTTATTTATTTTTACGATGTAATTTATCAAATTATATTGTATTGATCGGATTATATTTTTTTTAATACCCAGTATTTAATTTATAATCGGCATAAATTATACTTTACATCACCTAACTGTATTTTGGAATGTAAGACTCTTAATATTTAAATATTAACCGATTAAAAAATATTATCAGATATTGATTTATCATAAAATTTTTTGTAGTATGTATTTCTTAAATGTACGCTTATATCTGCAGTGTAAAATTTTTTTTTTTTAAAAAAAAAGGATAATAAGCCAACAATAAAAAGAACAGCATAAAAGATCATTATTCATTGAAGTTGTCCAGTGTACAGATATATTTGACATGTCAATGTCAATAAATCGTGTTGTCAGTTTGTTATGGTTAGTCTAAATTGATAGAAATATTACAAAATATATATACATACTGTCAATAATTATTTAAATTTGCTAAATCACTACCTTTATAACTTTTTATTTACTGTGAATTTGTGATAGCACTTTGATTGTCGTTTTTCAATTTGTAATTCATTTATTAACATTATTATCAATAGATATTTCTTTAAAAAGTCTTATGCATTAATTAAATATTTATGATACGTTGATAGATTTACTAAAACCAAAATTAGACAATTAAAATTCTAATCATCGGATATTAATAAAATAATATATTTCAAAAAAAAAATTCTAATTCTAAAACTATTCTCAAACTATACTAAGTTCTAAAACCAAACTGTTATAACCTTTCCTAATTGACTATTCTAATAAACCATTAATTAAAATAATTAATGTGACACCTTTTCATCTTAAGAAAAAGGCAAAAAGAATCAAATGTTAAAATTATAAGGTTTAATTATTAATACTAAAATCTAAAATGATAAAAGCTATGTGGTTATAAAATCGTATTTATACTTTCTAAGGTGATACTATTTTCCTCGAATGAATCCCACATATAATCCAATAAAACCAATTATTCTATGAATATCCCCATTAATAAAGATCAATCGCCATTTTTATGTCCCGTAGATCTATTAATAACCAGCATAGTTTAACGTCATCGCTGACGCAGTACATTTAAGACACTTCAACTTTTTATACACTTAAACTAAATATAATATCGCGCCCAAAATTAATAATTTTACTGTAAAAGTTTTGAGGTAAATCTTAAAAACTGATGAGTAATAATTTTCTTACGGTGCAATACAATTTTTGCTACTGCTTCACCCGGCGTTCTGTAGTAAATCAAAAGCATTAAAAAAAATCTTAATTAAATTTTTCCCGTAAGAAAAATTTGTTAAAATTCAAAGAAACTTGGAAAATTCTAAAAAAAAAACTTAACCTTCTTCCTCCCTAATCCTGCGGATATTTATTAACGTATGGGACAATCAACTTGTACGACGAACAATTTGTTAAGCCCGATAGACTTACCTCATCAATCAGCTAACAGTAAATGTAGAATAAATCTAAGAGCTACCTAATAAAATATAATACAGTAATATAATACAATAATATAAAAAAAACTCAATTAAGTCACTGAAAAAAAAATTTTTTTCCAAGATAACATTCAGCTTCTGTTTGAGTAGAAACATTTTTATTAACCATTTTTTTAAATAATGAATTATTTATGGGTTTGTAAAGAATGTAAACAAGAAACCACTGATTATAATGGTGTAAAACATGTAATGCAAAACAATTTTTAATAAAATTTTAAAAATTGGAATAGTGGAAATAATAATATTAACAAATTTATTCAAGAAACTCAACTATCAGTAATTGGTCATTATAATATATTAGAATGGATACCTTACAATAGATTTTATGATATTGAATATATTACACAAGGTGATTTTGAAAAGTATGTAGGGCAAAATGGATCGACGGGTTTATTATGGAATTGGATAAATAAAAATCAAAATTGGAATGATTTTGTTCTAATAAGTTCGTAGCTCTGAAAAATTTAGATAAATCAAAAGATGTTACATCTTAAGGTACATTTTTAAATGCAATTTTTTAATAACGAATTTTTTGAATATATAAATCATAAATTAAGTTGGAAAACTACTATGAAGATTTATCTTATATTGCATTAGAATTCATGAAAAAGAAATAATTACATATCAGCAATATACTTCTTTCATAGTTGATCCTGATGTAATCCTATGGTTATATTTTTATTATTTTAGCCATTTGTCGCCTAAAATATCAATGATTGGAATCTATATCTAAAACAAATCCCCACCTATTTTCATAATATATTCATCTATTATTCATCGGTAAAAAAAAATAGAACTAAAACACTTACTAGTGTACAAAATATATAAATCCAATAAATCTACAATTAAATTTAATAATTTTATTTGGTTTCAACGTAAAATAAGTGTTATCTAGATTTGTCATACGCCTGACTTTAAGAATGAATAGTTTTTTCTCCAATATTTTTAGCTATTACTCCTGTTGGTGCTATAATTCTGTTGTGTTTGTTTAGAAGTTCAATAATGTAAATAATTTCCCAGTACCTCAGACTCATTCCTTGATTTAATTGAAGTTCTTGT